CTCTGGTCTAAGCTCCTCAATACAAGTTATACAAACACAGGGTTATCTACCGATTTTCAAAGCCAGGGCTCTTTAAATGTGGGGTTTATCAAGGGTAGCTAAAGAACTTTTCTTCGGTCAAATCAGATGTAGGTACATGAACCAAACAATTAAATTATCCACTCAGTGAAAACCCTGAATTTGGTCAGTGCACATAAATTGACATTTCTTAACACTTTATAAGTTAGACAAAAAATAATAATAAAAGAAAAAATAAAGCAGGTCTACAAATGCAGTTCCCTGGAAAAAGACAAATCTCTTTAAATATGGGGTGCTGCAGACTAAGGCAACTTTTAGTCAATAAAAAGGGTAATCTATTAGTCTTACATATTACAGGAATGAAACTATACAATGCTGCTTTTTTCCCTTCTCATTTACACTGTACAGTCCACATATTTCATGTTTGGCAACAATAGCCAATACACATTTGTGTAACAATTATCCTACATTTTACACCCAAATACAATAGACACTATACAAACATACATAAGCACAGATTTCTTTTCTTCTTAAGGCCTCTTTTAGAGAGCTTGGACAAAAGCTTAGATGAACTTAAATGGAATGACTGAATTTAACTAACCATTAAATCCATCAGCATGTAGCCACTTTACATGTACCTTAAATGAAATAAAACATTTTAGTTGGTATAATGTAACCACAATCACATTTTCATCATATTTTGTCCTACTTTGTGAGATAATTTTTTTCCTGCTTTACACGAGAACATAAACGTGAGTTTTTATCTACATTTTTGAATGGACACATTTGCAATCTTTTAACAAAGACACAACCTGCATACATTAAATGCCATTTAAGCTTCTTTCAAAAAAATTATAATTAATTCCTTATTTTATGTGATGATCAACCTTTCAACATGTAGCAAGTCCCAACATATTTACTCTCTTGTTTATCACCTCTATACAAGACATGATTGTAAAAGCCAAAATATTCTTTTCCAAAACCTCTACTAATATTAAAAACAATCAACCAAAATCATACAAAATCTCAAGCTTCTGTTTACAATTCCAAAGCAGACTTTAAAAAAAATCATTTAACAACTGAATATAATTTAACTGGGTCAAATTGTTTGTCCAAAGCGTCACTTTTGTATTCAAATTTGCCAGAATATGTACAAATGTATGTTTGTATGTAAGAAAACAAACATTTACACAATAAAAGCCAGGAAACACTGTCCATTAGCTGCTACACTTCATGTGAGGGGCTTGGTTTAGCTAAAACAAGTGGGGAAAAAAAGTAAATGATGAGGGAAAGTAACTTCTTTTCTTCTTTTTTTTGGCTGAAGTGTCTGTTGCTGCTGAGACAGGCATCTTTTCCGCTCCGTATACCAGAGGAATCAAGCCAAGACACAACTGGCATCCTTGTTCTTCATGAATCTCAGTTGAGAGCCACACTTTACGGCCAGCCAGCCTTCCTCTGTTGATGAGGGTGAGTAAAAATGTGGACAGCGGGAGTGTAGTTTACCCTGAAACAGCTGGTGAAAACAGGAGACTTTCCAGGGCCACATCGTACATTTGAAGGCAGGTTGACCTCTGTTTCCTCCCATCCTTCAAGCCCCGGGAGCAGCGTTTTTCTTTCTCATCCCCCCCAAAGGTCTTGAAACCCTGTGATAGACGATGTTCACAGGCTCTTTGTGTTGATGTGTGTTTTGTAATGCTTCGTGAGGTGGTCACTCCGCATGAAACGTTTCTGACACTTACTGCACTCAAAACGTTTGTCTCCTGAAAACAGATGAAAAATGAGGTGAATTTAATTAGAGATGCATCACATTTATATTAAGTGCATGTGTACTGTATATCTGGAGCTTGCATACCTGTGTGTGTCCTGGCGTGTCGTTGCAGCTCATCACTGCGTGTGAATCGTTTTCCGCAGAAGACCCAGCTGCACACAAAGGGCCTCTCTCCCGTGTGCAGTCGGACATGCGCCCGCAACAGGGAAGTCTTTCGAAAGGTCTTTTCACAGCCTGCTATGTGGCAGATGTGCTTTCTTTTCCCCACCTCGCCTGGCCTACAGCATGCAAAAATGTAAAGTGATTTCTGACACACTGAGTATTTCCTTTAACCGTTTGAATTGAATCAATATTGATATTTATCAGAAAAAAGAAATCCATGATATCAAAAATAAACTTTTGATACTAGATCTTCATTGTCGGCGTATCTCTGTGTGAATGAGTGGTGACAGAAATTTTGTCTACTAAACAGTACACACACACTCGAGCAACAACAACAATAATATTAACCATTGTTATTATTTTTACTATTTTAAGCAAATACATTTTTCATAATTTTTTT